GCTGCTTACTTGCTTGTTCCTTATGGCTTGCTCAGCCTGCTTTCTTTTAGAACCCAGAACCATCAGCCCTGGGGATGGCACCACCCACAATAGGCTGGACCTTCCCTCATCAATCACTAATTAAGAAAATGTCTTGATCTTACAGAGGCATCTTCTCAGTTGACTCTCCCTGTTCTCAGATGACCGTAGCCTATGCCAAGTTGAATAAACTAGCCAGCACAGGGCCCTTGTAAAATTTGGTAACACTATATGTTTTGTGAATATGAACAACAAGAAATAAACTTAAAATCCAACACATAGTGAACCTGAGGTCTTCCTGGAAGCATCTGTGTTTCCCACTTAACGCCAGTGTAGCTGAGGTTCAGAACCTGCACTGTGTGCTCTTTGCCTTGCAACAGCAAACAAATACTTTAGGAAACAGACTAGAGATCATGGTCTGACATGAATTTCAGTGTTTTTAACTACATGAAGGTTTTTACTCTTACAGAAACATAACGGTTTAGTTATAGAAAACAAAAACTTTCTCAGCATGTAATAATTAATTAGTATGTCTTTGAATAGTATGTGTAATAATGTTTGATTCTGTGGCTCTTGCACTCTTGAGCTTACAGCAGCTGTGTTAGCTGAGCAAGTCTGAGTCATCAGCAATCTATCATGGGTCAGGGAGTGGCTCCTAAGGCTCTACCACTTCTTCAAGGAGCTACAGGCAGTTAACGGTTGCTGGAGTAACAGTGTTCTGTATTCCACGGGACAGAGAAAGATGTTCACTCCGGAGTGTGATTCAGGCTCTGTGGCAGCAGGGGAAACAGTTTCTAGCAACTGAACCTCGAACAGTCACGCAGAAGCATTGATTGATTGTTACACAAAGGTTGTTTATTATGGGTTAAACTAATTCCTCAAACCAAGCTTTTGATCTCATCCGTATGTTTTTCCTACAACTTCAGAACTTATGGTGCACTCTTTGCAGTGCCCAGGAATGTAAGATGCTCAAGGATTGGTTGTCTTGTGACCAAAGTCATCCGAAGGATGGAAAACTCCTTCAGAAAAACCACTCCATAAATCAGAAAACAATCACTGATTTCTACAATGATTTCTTCAAGGTCTAAATACTTCTAAAAACAACTATCTCATTTTAATTTCTACTCTAGATATAATGAAAAACAACTCTTTTGTTCCAATGTTTATCCTAGCTACAATGACTCTACTAGGTTCTCAGTATACTGGAGAAGGGGGAATCATATTGTCAGTGGTAGAGCCGTTGGTAGGTTGCCCATGCTCACAGAAGCAACCCTAATTAAATTCAGTGGAGTGCACATATACTCCAATCAAAGCCCATTATAAACATATAGTAAAATTGTCAGAGAATTAAAAAAGAATGCTTGATTTTAAGAAATGCCTTTTGAGTCAAGCATGGTGCTACTTGTCTGTAATCTCAGCACTGGGAAGATGGAGGCAGGAAGATCAGGAAACCCCATGTCATAAAACAAAATAAAACAACAAAACAATATATTGCTATTGATAATTTTTGAGCTTGATATAAAAATTTATTCAATGAATTTTGGTTTATGATTAGATCAGAATTTCCAAAATGACCCTAGGCAGGTTTCTACTATATTATAGAATGCAGGTGTTTATCCAAAGGGTGTTCGTAGCATTGAAGACATCAAAATGTCAGTTTAGCTCTGAAAAGTGTTGTTGTTGCTTTGTGTCCTGCAGTATCAACTATTCAGTCAGGATTAATTCTTCGTGTAAAAATAAGCAACTATATACATCTCATTGTTTTATAAACTTGGTTTCATTTCTAATAAATGGTAAAAATATACATTAAAGAGTTGTTTTAAAATAAAATTCTTTGTGTTTTAACATCAGCAAAGGTTTGATTTATATACTTATTTTATGTATTAGAGTAAAAGGGATCCTGTGTAGAAAAAGTTTTAAAATCTCTGTTATAAAATCTCTGAATTTATTACGTGTCCTTCCAACCATTCCTGGCCTATTAACATCCTCTTTTTTCCAGGTTCTGATGACCTCCCTTTCCTCTCCTCCTCCTCTTCCTCCTTCTTTTTCTTCTCCTTTCCCCTTTCTTTCTGCTGGGTCTTGGACCGAAGGTCTTTGACAGGTTAGGCATGCTCTAACACACACACACACACACACACACACACACACACATGCACACTCCATATTTCCGACTTTGAGATGAGCCGTTTAGTTTCTACATTCAGGAGCATGTGGTATGTGTCCTTCTCTGTCTGATTAGCTTTCCTAATGTAATGCTCGCTGTATCCATTCATGTTTCTTCAAATGACGTCATTTCATTCTTTTCAAGCATGTTGCAATAAACATGCTAGTGCAAGCATCTCATTAAAATTGGGATTTCAATTATTTTGTTTATATACTCAGTGTGGAATGTCTGGATCATAGTATATTTATCCTCCTTCCTGTAGTACTGGAGATTGTACTAAATGCTCTGCCATTGAGCCATAGCCCAATGCTCCTTCTTACTTTTTGACATGAGACAGCATCCTGCTAAGTGGCTTAGGCCAGACTTGAATTCTGTAACCCAAGCAGGTCTTGAACTTTATTCTTACTGCCTGAGGCTTCTCAGGAACTTGATTATGAACAGTGCTTCCCACACCACCTCAGATAGCTCCACCACTTCTAGATTTTCAGTAACCTCCGATTTTCCAAAACAGCAATACTAATTTACACTTTCATTGTGAGATGGAGGCCGGGCAGTGGTGGCACACGCCTTTAATCCAGCACTTGGAGGCAGAGGCAGGTGGATCTTGGTGAGTTCAAGGCCAGCCTGGTCTGTGAAGTGAATTCCAGGACAGCCAGGGGTACACAGAGAAACTCTGTCTTGAAAAACCAGACAAAACCAACCAAACCAAAACAAAAAGAATGTGAGACGCTTCTGTTCCCACACCTCACAGCATGCTTTTGTCTGGTGACAGCCATTCTAACTGAGTTGAAGTCATACCTCATTACATATTTTTAGAAATTTTATGTGTATGGGTGTTTTGTCTGCATGTATGTCTGTGCACCCTATGTGTGCATGGCGCCTTCAGAGACCAGAAGAGGGTGTCAGATCTTCTGGAACTGAAGTTACAGACTGTTGTGAGCTACGATAGAGGTGCTGGAAATCGAACCAGAGTTCTCTGGATGAGCAGCAAGTACTTTTAACTACCGAACCATTTCTCCAGCCCCTCCTTATGGATTCGATTTGCATTTCTTTGATTAGCATTGTTTTAAATATTCAACAGAATATTAAAAAACTTGAATACACACATATACATGTTCATTTATCCTCTTGAAAAATAAGCACTCATTCCCTCATTTATTGTGGTGCTGGGGTTTGAATCCAGGGCCTTGCACACATGTAAAGCAGATTGACTGTCACTGATGAGTTCTCCCTTGACCATTTTATTTTTTTTAATTCTTCTATTTTAGAAGTGAATCCTTTGCCAGATGAATAGGAGGCAAATGGGTCCTCCCATCTGGAGGCTGTGTCCTTTGTTAATTGTTTCCTTTGCTTGTTTTATCTTTTTAATGCCAGCTAAAATATTTAATTTATGTGTCCAAATGTGTGTTTTGCCTGCATCTATGTCTCTGTACCAAAACTACAGTGTCCAAAGAGACCAGAAGAGAGCCTTGAATCCCCTGGAACTGGAGTCACAGAGAGCTGTGAGTAGCCAAGTGGGTGCTGGTCATTGAACCCAGCTCCTCTGCAAGAGCAAGCAGCCGGTGCTCTTAACTATTGAGCCTTTTCTCCAGCCCCTTGTCCCCATGCTTTCTCCCAGTAGTTTCATGGCTTACATTTAAGTCTTTGACCCATTTTGAATTGACCTTTGTGTACAGCAAGAGATAGGTTTCTAGTTCATTCTGCACGCAAGAATATTCAGTTCCCCGGCACCATTCACAGAAGAAATGGTCCTTCATCCAATGTGTGTTCTTGCTGTCTTTGTTGAAAATCGGATGGTTGTGAATATACATGCTTGCTGGGGATTGAACTCTTGTTTTATAAATGCTTGGTAATGGACCCTAGGTAAGAAAGGCCTTCTCAGAATCTCAAGTAGCCCGGAGTAAAGAAAGGTTTTGGTTGATTCTCGGGTTGCTTGACTATAAAAGCTGAATTCGATGGGGTCGTGTCTTCAGGGTCCAGGGAAGGAATGCGGAGCATTTCTTTTCCTTAGTTGATTTAGCATGGACCTTAGTGTGGATTTCTTTTTTCCTCTATCCTTTCGCCTCTAACTTAATTTAGGACACACCGATTTTTTTTTTAAACACTAGAAAATCTAACACCTATTTTTTTTGGGGGGGGGGCACATGTGGTTTCTTAGGTCGCTGGACTCTTAATAATTAGCTCTATACTTTCCGTAAGTATCCTATTTTCTCTCCAGTTTGCAGATGTATCTGAAACTCAGCTCACTCAGGTTTGCTTTTTTTTTTTTTTTTTCTTTTTTGGGAGGGAAGGGTTTATTTGGGATTGGTTCCCCTTATTTATTTTTCCTCTTTTGTTGATGTCTTTACTAGGTTTTGAGACTTGGATTATTTGATAACATTCAAAACGAGTTACGAAAGCCCTATTGATTTCTAATATTCCAAAGTTTTAATAAATCGAAGATGCATTTAATTACTGAGGAGCTAACGGGAGCCTACACACGCTGTCCACGGACCACATTAGTTCACAGCAACTCAAAGACATCCCGAGGGATGGTCCCAGCCTGTTTACTGGGTATACTCCAGTAACTAAGTTTTCAAAAAGACTCAAGTTTCCTTCCTATCCCAGATCAGCAAAGGGGAAACTGGATCCGCTGCCACGTAGGACTTTCCAAATCGTCTCTTGGGACTTGCAGGGATCAGGCGCTGGGCCTGGCAGTGGTTGTGGTCTTCCCCGGGCTTCTGGACGCGGGGAAGGCGAGGAAGTCCCGGGAGCTCGGCTCCTCCCCTCGGCCCGGCAGGGGGCGGAGCTGCGGGGGGGGGGGGGCGGGCGCTGCGGCCCGGGGCTAGCTGGGAGCCCTTTCCACGTTTGCAACGCTGCGGCGCGCCCAGCCTTGCTCCTTGCCCCTCCAGTCCAGGCCGTGCGATGGCGTTCGGGGCCCGGGGCTGGCGACCCCGGTCGCTGCTCTTGCTGCTACTCTGGGTGACCGGGCAGGCGGCACCCGTGGCGGGCCTGGGTGTGAGCTCCGAGCTTCAGATCGAGCGGCGTTTCGTGCCGGACGAGTGTCCGCGCACGGTGCGCAGCGGCGACTTCGTGCGCTACCATTACGTGGGAACGTTCCTCGACGGCCAGAAGTTCGACTCCAGGTACCCCGTGCCCCCTCACTCCCCAGGGACCTCCACCAGCCATCTCCCTCCGCCGCCCTCCTCCAGCCCCTGGAGGTGGGCTGATCCTCAAGCACGCGACTGCAGCGGAAGGTGGGACTTTGAGGTTGGGGTCGGGACCATCCCTCTCTCCCTTTCTGCCCGGTTCAGCCGCACTCGCTTTTACACAGTCTTGTAAAATGGCCACTTAAGGACAATTCCAAGAGTGGGTGATGCCCGCCCGCTGCCTTCCTGACGGTCCTTCCCGATTGGCCCTGAATTTCATCCCTTGAGGACTAGAAGGAGGGGGCGGCGGTTGATAATTGCAGCCTCTGTGCAACCCAGGTGCTGGGCACCGGTCTGTTTGTATATATGCATATGCATGAGCTCATTTAAATATTCTGGGAGTTCCCAGAAGAACCTTGTCTTCACCGACGAGGTAAGCCTGCTCAAACAGTGGACTCAGGCTATGGAAATTCAAAAGCAGTGCCTGTGTGTAACGTCCTGTGCCTTCCCCTTCCGGCTTCACAAAAACTGCGGGAGAGACGGCCTGGAGCAGCCCAGTGGTCTGGTCCGCATAACCTGTCTTCAAGGCTGAAGGGCTCACTTTAGCCTCGCTCCTCTCCCAGGCTGCTGTTACTAACCTTGGCCTGTGCCCTCATGGTGAGCCAGTCCAGTAGGCAGGTAACAGTTGAGCCTCTTCTGTGTGCCTGAGTGGGCTTATAAGAAATACAAGCAGCCACCCCCATCTTCTTTGATATTGCAGACACTGAGAATATAAACGCAGTTTAGCTTCTTGGTATGTGGCACAGTGCAAGTGCTTAGATATGGTCATCTTTACTGTTAATTATTTTAGGGCACACACAAGGAGATTGAACACAGGACTTTGTATATTCTAGGCAAGCTCTCTGTTCCTGAGTTATATCCCCAGACCCTATCCATACAGTTGTTTCCGTAGTGGCTTTCATATCAACCAGCTTTATCGAAGTATTCTCCTGCCATGCAATTCTAGAATGTAGAGGGCTAGTGAGATGGCTCAATGGTTAAGGTCCTTGCGGCTAAGTTTTATGACCTAAATTCAATCCCTGGGACTCCCATAGTGGAAGGAGAGAAATGACTCCCACAAGTTGCCCTCTGACCTCCACAAGCATGTCATGGCATACCCCACATAGATGAGTAATGTGTAAAAAAAATACTCTGAAAAAAATAGATTATACAAGTTGGTGGGTTTCAATATGGTCATAGAGTGTTGTATAAATACCACAACTCTGTAATTCTCGAGGGTTTCCATCACTCCAGAAAAATGCTGGGCATATCCCACCTCCCATCTCCTCCCTCCCATTTGAGCTCTCCGGAAGCTACTATTCTGGACAGCTTGCCGGTGTTGACTCTCTTCTTCCACTGTGCGCATCCTGGGGATGCAGAAGTTGAACTCAGGCTGCTGGGCTGGGCTTGCTGGCAGTCTCTGTTCCTGGCTGAGCCGTATCGCTGACCCATCATCAAGGTTTTGATCCTCATTTCCCTAGAGATGTTGAGCATCTCTCTATGTGCTCATTGGTATTTGTGTATCTTCTTTGATTTGTTCCTCATTATATAATAGGGAATGAGTTTTTTTTTTTTTTTTAATTGAACTGAAGGTAATTGATAATTCCCCTTAGAACAGGTTCTCCTCTTTGGGGATGCTGCCACGGTGAGGCAGTGTAGGACAGTGGAAAGAGCACCTCGGGACTGCCATAGCATTTATGCCCTGCCTGCCCTCAAGAAGTCTAGTCTCTTATGTTTCTCTCTGATGCTGTCATTTAGCATAATCAAGTAACTGCAAAATGGTGAGGTAGGCATGGTAAGAATAGCAGAGCCTGCACTCTCTCACAGAAGGCCACACCTAGGTTTACCCTCTGCCTTCACACAGTTTAATTATTTTTATTTCAGAAGAATCCTTCTACTCTCACAAGACAGTGAGGAAGGTATCTCATTACAGATGAAGAAACTGAGGCTCAGAATGTCCAGATGACTTGCTCTCAATGCCTAAGAATTAGGTGGTCCTGTAGGGATGTTAATGCAGGCAGTTTATGATCATAATCTACATTCCGTAGTCAGCCCGTAAGTATGCTGGGAGAAAAGAGAGAAGCAATGGGCTCATACAGAAGGCTTGGCTATATGTTGTGTGTGTGCAAGGGGTGTGTGGTCAGGATGGAGCTCCTAGACTGCAGGGGGAAGGCCTAAGGAAGACTAAAATGTATAAAGGAGGAGCTGAGGAGGAGGGTTTGGTGCTGGGAAGGAGATATCGCTGGTGGTAGGGTATGGCGCTGGGTACATGGTATTGCAGAAGTGAGGTCTGAGGAAGAGTTGAAGGAAGAGTGGGGAGGTGACAAGAGGAAAAGTAAGAGGAAGCTAGAGGTGAGGATTTTTTAAAAAAGTTAAGACTTTTAACACTTTTCATTGACATAGAATTATGCATATTTATATGAAACAGTGTAATAGCCAGGAGCTGACCAGCTTTGATGGGATCTTGCTTTCTGGATGTGGACTGTATCTACGGACAGTACAAAGTCCATAAAGACTTTGAGTCCTGGAGCTCAGGCATGATTTATTGTTCACAAGCTGTTGCTGATGGAAGACTGAATGGGAGGGACAAGGCGCCCAGGAGCTGTTTCGTTTTCCCGCTGAGGGTGCTATTTCTTTGGAATTTGTGGATTGTTAGGATATGAGTTTGATAATCTTTTTTTTTTTTAAAGGAAAGATTTTTTTATTATTTTGAATTCTGTGTCTCTGTATGGATATGGGCGTATGCAAGTGCCCTCAGGGGTCAGAGGTTTTGGATCCTGCAGAGCTGGAGTTAGGCAATTGTGAGCTTCCTAATGCTGAGTGCTGGGAACCAGACCCATGTCTGCTTAAAGTTTTCCACCGAGCCATCTCTCTAGCCCGTAACTTTGGTAGTCGTGGACAAAGTGTGCGCAGAGAGGAGAAATCTAGGAGTTTGGATTTTGGCTGCCTTGGGGGTTTTGCCAGAAGAAAGTGGCAGTTGTTGGCCTGATGAGATGGCTCAGTGGGTAGAGGCCTTGCTGCCACACCTGATGACTCATGCTCCCCATAAGTAACTGTTAGAAGAAGAAAAGAAAATGATGACTTGCATTCTGAGTAGAGTCTTACACTGCCAAGAGCTTCTTGTGCCACGAGTTTTTTCTCTCTCTCTTTTTCTGTGCCTCAGTTTTCCTTTTCTGTGTGTGGTCATTCGGTCACTAAGATGACCCTGCAACCCTTGGCTGCTACTTTGGATGTGGCTTTGATTAACTCTGAGAGCTCATGAATGTGCTCCTGTGTCCACTGATGCAGGTGCAGGCAGATGGCAGCCCTCATGCTGGTGCTGCGGAGCTGCTGCTCAGCCTTCCCAGTTTCTTTCTTTCTTTCTTTCTTTCTTTCTTTCTTTCTTTCTTTCTTTCTTTCTTTCTTTCTTCCTTCCTTCCTTCCTTCCTTCCTTCCTTCCTTCCTTCCTTTCTTTCTTTCTTCCTTTCTTTCTTTCTTTGAGATTTCTGTCTCTTCACCACCGCCTCCCCTTTCCCTCCCCCTCCCCCAATCAAGTCCCCCTCCCTCGTCAGCCTAAAGAGCAATCAGGGTTCCCTGCCCTGTGGGAAGTTTCATCTCAGGATTTCCATTGCATTCCTAGGCATGAGAGTATGGGGGAACAACATGTCTGGGCCTCTCTCATTTCCTTTGGGGGCCAAAGTTGAATATGCTTCTATTTCCATTGTCCTGGCAAAAAGTGCCTCACTGGTTCATTCACAGCATTCGGGGCTATCTGGAAACCTACAAGGTGCTTGACTGATGGTACCATGTGCCCACCGAGTCTTCAGTGGGTAGGTCAAGCTAGCTGCTCTAACTTTCAAGCTAAATACATCAGAATCACCAGGAGAGGTCATTACAGTTTCTGATTTGCTAGCTCTGGGGTTTGGGTCCAAGAAGAATTTGCATTTGTGACAAGTTCCCTACTGATCTAGCTGTCTTGAAGATCGGACTTTGAGAACCTTTGCTGTAAGAGAACCGTAGATTTGATGGATCTCATTTTGGCACATTGTTATTCATTCACCCATACATTGGTTCATTAAAGAAATACTTATTGAGAGCCTACTCTTTCAGGGGCTGGAGATGTAGCAGTGGATAAAACAGAATCCCAGCCTGGTGAAGCTCACATTTGTAGTGGAAGGGGCACATACTCTAAGTTACACAGCAAAATAGACGCTGGTAAGAGCGGTAGAGACAGAACAGTGGGAGGTTTTGAGGTGGGGGATGAAGCATTAGGCTCAGAAAGGCGTGATGACATTGGGCATCCTGATAACTGATTTCTGGACTCCGTGGCAGACTCTCTATGCCTCATGTATGTCAGAGTGCCTTGTGAGTGGCAGACATCCGTGCCTCTGCTGGTTTCAATGAGAAGGAGATTTCTGTCTGCTGGGGAAGACTTTGGGGGAAGACCTGATGCTTGAGATAGGCATTGTTGGGATTTTATTTCTTTCTTGTAGGGAATGTCTTTAGAAGAGAAAGGGGTGCGTGCAATACCTGGGCATGCACAGTGCATGTCCAAGGAACAGAAAAAGAAAAGAAAAGAGAAGAAGAAAGAAAATAAAAATCAATGATAGTTGGAAGGAGGCAGAAGACCCAGAGCTGGTCAGGTGTGGAGGAGCCGTTCCATGAAGCCCTGACAACTAGTAGAGGTCTTTGTGTAGAGTATCCAGAAGGTCTTCAGTGGAAAGAGTATGAGGAGAGAACCCTAGTTCTTAGCCTTGTTGCAGATTTATTTAGCATAATTATTCAATTAAGTTTTCAATGTTGGGATATAACAACGAATGGATTGTAACAATGTTGGAATATAACAGAATGAAAGCAGACAAAAGCCATGCCCTTGTTATGGTTGAGAAAAGTACTCAAACCTCTTCCAGCTGACTAGAGCAGAGAGCAGAAGGAATTGCTGGAAGAATCTTTGGTGCTGTGAGAACTTCCAGAATTGT